ATTCCTGCTATGACTACCTGGCAAGCAGGAGCTGTAACTGATTCCCACGGCTACAATGTCAAACTGAAGTCTAGCTGCGGGGTCTCCAGCCCTGCAAATGTACCCACAAAACAGCCTGAGTGGCACTAAGAGAAGAACTAAATGAACAGTTTAACCCAGGTCAAGTTAAATCCTGATCTTTCTTCCACTCATTTCATTATAGCTTTGCCCAAATTTCATATGAGCTGCAGTGAGGGAAGGGATGATTTCCAAGCCTGTATTCACCAAAATCCAACTCTTCACAGCTGAAATCAGGTCAACAACACATAACAATTGAAACCTCAGAACATAACATATGCAATGTTGCCTTGTTAAATCTAAATTTAACTTTTGACCAGTATCAAGGGATGTTGGCATCTCCTCTACACTTTGCAACTTCTGGGAACAGTTTTACAGAGAATTTCCAGGGTAACAGCTCTTTCTGTTGCTGTCTGCGCAATCTTTCTCACTTGATTTACCCTGCACAGAAGACCAGCTCCTTGGCATTTTTGCAGCTTTGAAGTGGAAAACTAGCGCCTGCACCTCAGGGCAGGAGAAACTGAATCTGTTGCACCTAGAAAAGTATCCTCTCATGGGCTGTGGGCCTAGAGGCCCTGTGGTTTCCTCTGTCACAGTGTATGGAGAGGGAAAAAGACACCTTCAAGGAAGGATCAGTCATTTAGGAGAAATGGACAACTTCTCTTTTAATTAAAATATTCTGAACTGGCAGGGGAGAAGGACAAAGGGGGCAGACACTTTGCCCAAACCCCAGCAGTTTTTCCTTACAGAAACCCTGTTTTTATTTTGTTCCAGAATGAATCGAGCTGGAAAGCACCTTTTGGAAGTGCCCAGTCAAAACATCCTCACAGCAGAGCCAACAGCAATCTTAGGTGGGGTTGCTCGGTGCTGCAGACTGATATTTTCCATTGAAACAAGGGAAATCCTGTCCCCTGGAAACCAAATGGTCAGAGCTGTAATTGAAGGATTGGTGAGGGGGAAGGGGGAGGAGAACGGACTCCTTGCAATTTCCTGCCCCTATAAGAGGGTCAAGTCGGGATAGGAGAAGCAGCCGAGTAAATTCAAGATGATGATGCACCCTCTCCTCCCCACCCTCGCTTTGCCAGCACCCCTCGAGCACGTCCGGCAGCACTGAAAGGCGGCTCCCCGGAGCGCTCGAACGGCCGGAGCGGGAGCGAGGCGCCCCGCC